CTGCAGGAGCGAGCCCACAGGACACAAACCCGCCTGGCTCCACACGGCTCCCTCCTAGGGCCACCCCAGGCCAGCCAAAAATAAGATTTTTTTTAAAAATAAACATCAAAAATTAAAATGTTCAACATAAACCAACGTAACCAGTGGGGCTGCTTGAACGAAACAGAAAAGAATCTTCATTCCGAGCGGTCTCTGTGCTTCTAAGTCGGTCTTTGCGCGGTCCCTCGCTGATGGACAAGGAACCGGACCGTGCAGGATTCCAGCTGGGCCAACAAGGGCCGGTTTGGCTTCCAAGGCCGTGCTCAGCAAAGGGAGCCCCACGTAACGGGTCACGCTGTTCTGCGGGCACGGCGTTCCCCCGGAGCCTCACACCGCCCCGACCCGCCTTCAGCAGCTCCACCACAAGAAACCCACATGCTCTATACTTGACCGAGTACATTTGGATTTAATCCGACAGCAGGTGGAGGCAACCCAAGCGGCACACAAGCCTTCAACTTTTGTCAAAGCCCAGTGCTGATCATTGCCAATTCCCACAGGTTTTTTTCCCCAGAAGAAAGTCATTAACGTGCATTGATGGTGTGTGTTGTATGCTTGACGGAAAAGCAAACCAGCTTCACCATAAAGCTGAAAACCACTCAAGATTATCAACCAGGGAGACACATTCACCTTCCAAGATATGCATGGGTAAAATCATTTCAGCCCCTTGCAATCTGCACGGGGCCTGACGTGGGAGACGAAGCTGCACTACGACCCCTTCGCTGTCAGATACAGGACACGTGGGAGCAGCAGGATCCCCCGCACCGGTGCTGCAGCACCTCAGTGCCCGTCCCACCCGAGCGCTGTGTGCTGCTGTTGATTGTAGAAACATCCTCCAACTTTTGCCTCCTCTCAGTGTTTGTTGAACATGGCTACTAAATATTGAGCTATTAAACATTTGAGGTCTCGGCTACACCACATTCTTTACAGATTGTTGAAAGCACAAACTCCTAAAAATATAATCTCCTCTAAATGATTGGATTGTCCCGGCACAGGGCAGAGAGCACCTCAGAAAAGGAGCCCTGGCAGTTCTGCTAACCAAACAGTTGTAAGATGCAAATCACTCCCAGGCTTTGATATTCGACGCAAATATGCCAGGAATGAGTCGGACAGTTCTGCAGGCTGAAATGGCCAACACCGACAGAGCAGCCAGTTATGCAAACAGAATAAATTCTTCCAATTCAACTGGAATTGTGCATCTGCCTTACTTACGGCTCGCCACAAGCAAAATCCTTTTCATAAACTAAAGGGCCTGCAATATGTCTTCAACAACACATCCTTTACACTAAGAAGGGAGCTGAGCTTTAATAACTACTAACTCAACGATCCCAATAACATAATTAATGTGTCCCCACAAACGCCCCAGTAGCAAAGCAGGAGTATGTTCAGCAGCATCAAAACAATTACTGTAAGGAGTGGCCTTTTAACAGCGTCGCTTTGCTTCCCTCAGTAGAGAATCAACATTTTATTAAATTCATCCTATTTTGTGCTAGTGAAGTCACTTAATGTTGCAGTCTTCCCCGTCAGAGATATCACTGCGGTCTTTTCCGATGTCACTTTTTGTTTGGTTGGTTGGTTTTTTAATTAAAAACAAGCAAACCTGTTTTGAAACAAGAATTCAAAACACAGACAGTAATACATCTCTCAAGGGGTACGACCTGAAAAAGAGAGACTTCCCAAGGAGGAAAAAACTGAAAAATTTTGTGCCAGACAGGTAGAGAGGGAACAAAGAACACCGACATCTCTTTCTGCCAGGCAGAAAAACCACACACAGAGTAAGGCTGAAGTTCTCCGAATGTAAATCACCATCAATGTTTTATTGTTGCGTTTTACGATTCAACGAGGGGGGAAAAAAGTAACGAACAAAAAAACCACCAAAAAACCCCAGACCAGGTACAAAAGCATCAGTCCAGTGTGCATCTAGGTCAAACCACCTGCAATCTGAAGGAAGAGCAGATCTCCTCTACACACTGGTTTAATACAAAATCCTAGGGACAAAGGTCTATGGCATTTTATCGTATGAAAGATTTTAATACGACAAAGCAAAGGCAGCTCTGTTTCCACCTTTATCTGTCTGGACGGGTCATTCCTGGCCTGGTGGGCACCATCATGGGCCTGGAGGGTGGCCTCATCATCGGTGGCCCCGGCATCATTGGCATGTGTCCTCCCATCGGTGGCCTCATCCCTGGAGCTATGAGGGGAAAGAGAGGACGTTAGAGAAGAGCGCTCGGGAGCAGCCACTGCCGAGTCGCACCGACACAGCGTGCAGGTTCTGCCCCCCACTCTCCAGGGAACTTCCATTTTACCAGTGTGTGAGCTCTGGTCTGGAAGCTGGCCAAGAGAGATTACATTTCCCTGAAGGATTTTAGCAATTAGTAGAGGAAGAACCAAGTTCCTGGGTTATACACCCACTTTTGACAACATTCACTGGTGAATTATTTTCAGCCCCTCGACAGAGACACCAGCTCAATGAAATGGAAAGTTCATTTGGAAAAAAAGTGCTGCAAGATCATCCAGTGTGTTCAAAAGAAAAAGAGATCGGTGAGACTGGTGTACTTCTTACAGCTGGGTAACAGCAATGCCAAAGAAAAGCACGTGCTCTACCAAAAAGCTCTGAAATAATGGTTTCCATCCAACTTCTCCATCTATTTCCAGGCAGCCATTATGCCGCTTAATAGCACAGACTATACACGTATCCTGTGCCTTTAAAAAACACTTAAAGAACAGTTTCTACCAGCAAAACAATAATTGCAAAGACACTTCACTACTTCCAGCGTGCCTGTGTGTATCCCTTTAGATTTCTTCCAGTAACTGCTTCAATAAGATGTCCCCTGAGAATTCTTCAAATGCCAGTAAGCTCAAACCAGAACGAATCAAAGACATTTTAGTTTGCCTTTACAGTTCTGGGAAAAAAAAACAACTTCCTAAGCCTTGCTGTTTCTCTGAAACAGATTATCTTCAGACATTCTAAACAACAAAATTCATTTAGTGCTGAAATGCACCCCTTGTACAAAAACATAAGCACTACAAACACAGAACTCCTGAACAATTAAAGATTGTGCTGCTAAGATGAGAAGTAGAAAAGCTACGATTTACCAGAGCGATAATTTTGGAAGGACTGGTAACTTTCCACAAGCAGCAAAGCAACTTGAATTAGTTTGTCTCACGGTGCAGAGGACAACGGATCAGCAAACAGGCACACACAGCACATGCAAACCGAAACACTTCCAGAGCTCGACACTGGGGCTGTCCATCCACGCTGCGCCCAACGCGACGCCCGGAGCGCCGCGAGCGCGTCCCTAAGCCAGCACCCAAGTCCTGCAGCTGCTTCACGGCAGCTCCTTTCACAGCTCCCTGTCGCCCAGCGAGACAGAAAACAGCACCCAAGCACCCTGCACACGGCAGTTCCAAGAGATTGCCCTATTTCCAGACTTACCGGGTCCAACCGGCATCATTCCCGGCGGGGGCGGGCCCATCATCGGCATCATCGGCGGTCCGCCCATGTGAGGGGCCGGCATCATGCCGGGCCGCGGGGGGCCAGCTGGACACAGAGAGGTTGGTTACGGCCCTGGCCGCTTGCACACTCATCGACAACGGGCAACGCAAAGCCGTTATGAAACTTCACAGGAAATCTTAGGAATAAAGGCGTTTTAGACAGTTTTACAACTGCCTGCCTTCATTTTCAGCTTCAGCTCCGACCTCAGGTGCCAGAAAGCGAACCGGGGAAGGAACACACTAGCTGTTGTTTCCAACTTCCATGCCTAACACAGGCGACCACCACTTCCAGCAGTGGGACTCTAAGCAGAGAGGGATCTCTGGCCAGCTGAAGCGCAACAGAAGGTCACCAATCCTATTTTATTTAAAAAAACCCAACAAACCCATGCTGGAAGTTTTACTGAAGCCATCTACATGGCAGCTCCCAAGTAATGAGGCACACATTTAAGTCTCAACATTACTAAAATAGGACAAACTAAAGATTAAGATGGTCACTGAAACACTCCCACGAAGCATTCTCTCACATTTTGGTATTCACAAGCTCAAAACACCTTTGCTTCATCTCAGGCTAAAAGGACTTTTCGTTACAGGGCCAGGAAACATGCAACACAGCTCCCGAGGGCTGCCAAGCCAGTCAAAACCCGTCCGGTTCAGACTTACGGATGCTGGGAGGAGGCGGTATCATGGCTCCTGCGGGAGGTGGTGCCGAGAACGGTGTAGGTGGGATTTTCCCTTGCTGGAATGCAGCCGCTACATTGGGGGGGAAAAGAAAAAAAAAAAACGGAAAGAAAGAATCCCAGGAGAAAAACCAGTTACTAGGCTGAGGAAGCTGCTGCGCCAATCGTCCTTCTCATGCCCCGCGGTCAGAGCATTCGTCACGTCATGCTGCGTGCTCGGGTGTCCTAACTCTGGAACAAATCCCTGGGTTTGTCATGGCGGAAGCACCTGATATTCTTGAAGACAATTATTACAGTGATTACTCCAGCTGAGACTAGAGAGCTCCTTGATGAATGTCACAGGAAGGCGGATGGTGGAGAAAACGCATCACGTGAATTTGCAGCCGCAACTTTCATCTGGGATCACCAGGCAAAGAGATGCTGTCTGGGAAATGGTCATAAGGCAAGGACTTGGGTAGGTGACAAAAAGCGTGGAAACCATCTTATGGGACAGGAAAGAGCAGAAAATCAAAAGACTGGAATTGACCAGAAGGAAGGCCAAAGATGTGGAAGTTGGAAGCATCTAAAGAAAGTTGCCATGAAGTTAATCTGGCATTTGTGTTTCTTTTGACAGAGAAAAGAGCCATTATTCAGAGGATTAGGGAGAGGCAGAGAACCCTAGAAACTGAGGGAGGAAACACTTCACACTTTATTCCAGCCTTTAATAGCAAGAGGGGGGGGAAAAAAACCAAACCTACAATATCCCTAGAGAACTGAGGGCAGGCAACTACAGTGTTTTTTTAAAAAATGGAAAGATTCATGCATTTTAATGTCCATTTTCCTAGCTTTTGGATTTCTTATTCCTGCTCTTTCCATAAACAGGCTACTACCAAAAAGGAAAAATGGGTTACATGACCTTGTGCAACGTCACTAGCAGTGCTAAAGGCAGAGGTACCTACAGGCCTCTCGACCACGGCAGAGCAGTAAAATATCTGCTTGCTACGACCCCTGGGGCAGAGCCCTCAGTCTCTCACACTCTGACGAGTTCAAGATTCGGATTCTAAGCGAAGTTTTTGCTCAGAGCAAAGACTCACCCGGGAAGGGAGGAAGAATCAACATGGAAGAATGGAAGGAAAGCAGTGAAAGGAAGGACAGGGGAAGTAACAGGAGAGCAATCCAGGGTCACAGAAGGATTAGCCTTACTTGTTTTGTCAATCAGGCTCTGAGCTTGTTCCTCCATCCATTTTTGATAGTAGTCTTTCACATTCTCTTTGTGTTTTCGGCCACTGCAGTGGGTTTTTCTCACAGAGGGCTGAGAAAGATCACGTAAACCCAAAGCTTACATCATATCGCACAAACCCGAAGTTTACACCATTGTATAATTCTAAACACCCGCCGTTCAGCGGGATAAACCAGGCTGTTCCTGTGCTCGGTCAGGGTGACGTGCAAAACCCTCACGTACAACCTGTGTGTGTTGTGGCTCCAGTTTAGGTGAGAGGAGCTGCCCCAACGCCAGGCCAGCTGGCTCCTACCAACTCCCCGCAACACAGCCAAGAGCATCGGCCGGCCTCGACCGTCAAATGCCAGTGACACTGGATGCTCCCATTCTTCTTCACAAACAAGGAGGAGAGGACGAGTGAACACACCACAATACTTCAGGCAACCTGGTTTTACCCCACCTAAGTTTTATTTTACTGCTCTCGGCACAACAGAGAAACGAACGCATGAGATGTGGCACTTACCGAGTCATGGGTGAGGTACGTGTCACAGTAATCGCAATAAAACCTGAACAGGGAAAACTCTCGTTAACCAGAGATCGCTGCGCGCGTCAGAGCACAACCCCTCACGGCGGCTCTACCGGGGGCGGCCGGAGGGAGAGCGGCTGCACCGAACGGGTGCCCAGGGCTCGGCCTGCCAGGGT